TGTAGACCCTTGGTATATAAATGGGGATGTGCTTTGTGATTTGCAAAATTTATTTTTTTTTTTTTTTTTTTTAGGGATGGCACAAAAATAGGGGGAAAACCCTTTTTGTTTTGGTCTGGCTCCCAGTGATTTTTTTTCTATCAAAAAAAAAATATTCTTGCCAAACACATTTTAATTTAACTCCTGGCCAAACACTCTGGTTTAAAAAAATATGTTTAAGAGAATGATGTTGCCTCTGGAAAATTTAGCATAGTTCAACTCTGGGGCACCTGGCCCTCATTTAGAGGTGAATTACCATTCAAAATTTAATTTCAGGTTTTTCCCTTGATGGAAGCATTAGAGGTGTTTGACCTGAACTTGTGAAGGGCTTAAGCCAACCTGAAACAGCAAATTGTTCATGAGCAGGACTCCATGCTTAGGTAATTCTTTCTTGGTTACTACTCCAGCCTGTCCAGTGATGTAGCACAAGGTCTGAATCTGGACCATGGCTCAATTTTACTCAGGTAAAAACTCATTTTCCCCGAGGAGATCTATTCTGGACCACTATCCCAGGGTTTGAGGATGCTGTTTGGAAGGCAGAGTGCTCTGCCTGGAGGGCTCCCACGTTGCCCACGGGATTTTTGGCAGAAACAAATGGTCCAGTCCCCATGCAGCACGTGGCTTTTGAGGTGGTGCAAATAATCCCAGATAGTATTTGGAGATCCAAATACTCCATCATCCTCCTTCAGCCCCTGAGGGTGGGTGAAATCTCTTGTGCTCCTGAAATAATTTGTATTGTTTCTGCCAGGGAAAGGCAAAAGGGAGGAGGAGGAGGAGAAGGAGCCCATTTGCAAACACTTGTGAAGAAGGAGGCAGGTGGATTTATATTCTAATGGGGGGGATTTGGCTGTGGGACATCTGAATGAATACAATCTGATGAGTTTCATTAAGGCTACACCTCATTCTTTTAATTAACTTCTTGTTCTTGTCCTTGGTGAAGTAGTAATTATTTTTTAATTAGCCCAACACTGCATTGCAGAGCCAGCCAACCCTGGCCTCATCTCAGAGAGGTGTCATAAGAATTAAGTTAATTAGCTTGTCACCATCCCTGTAAAATATGGCTGTGTTTGGCAAAAAGGAAAAAAAGAAGACCCTTTGCTGTTCCAAGGTTAATTAAAAAACAGGGTGCACAGGAGAGTCAGGTTGGAGAGAGGCAGATCCCAGGGTTTGGCTTGTGCTGGGATTCCCATCCCACGGGCTCAGAGGCACAAACCCAACGTGCTGCTGGCAGAACTGCCCAGTTCCTGGTGTTCCTCTTGCAGCCTGGGACACCTTCCACTAGCCCAGGTTGCTTCCTGGCCTTGGACACTTCCAGGGCTGAGCATCCACAGCTCCTCTGGGTGACTGTGATTGTGGAGGAGGGAAGGAATCTGAGACCTGAGCCTGTTGTCCTACACTTTTCTGTGCAATTTCTGCAGTTTTCATTGGTGAAAAAATATTTTTCAGGCTTCAGCATCTCACAGAATCAACACCAGAGAGGAAGAAACCCTCACAAACATTTGAGAATTTGTAGAACTGATCCATTCTCCCCAGTTGTTTTGATTAAACTGAAAGAAGTTCTGTAAAAACGAACTTTGGGGTTGAAAAAGCTATTTTTTCTGTCAGAGCCCATCTTGGTGAGAGATTTTTCCACCACCTCTTTTCAAGCCCTGGTCCCTACACACCCTTGTCCCTGCAGGAAACATGCTCCCAAGTGTCCTGGTGTGCTGTGGCAGCTTCTTTGCCTTTCACAGAAAGCCCAGAGAAATTAGACTATTTCTTCAAGCCTCATCTCATGCTTATTTGACAGTTCAGCATTAATTTTTTTTTTTTAAAGGCAATTTCTATCTCTCCTGATTGAAGAGACGAACTTGAATATATGATCCCTGTGGGATTTAGAGCTGTCTCCTAAATCTCCCCAGATGATAATGGCTCTGCTCTCTTTGCTCTGAGGGAATCCTTTTTTCCCTGGCTGTGTTGGCAATTGCTGCTTCTCCTGGATGGGCTCTGACTGCTCATTAATACATTTCCTTGTGTGGTGTCCCAGGACAAAAAGATGGCCCTGACACCCCTCCTGCTTGCCAGGGGTGGGCTGGGGGTTAAATCCATGCAGCCAGATGTGAGAGGCAATTAATGGGAATGGGCTGCCCAGGGAGGGGGTGGAGTCACTGTCCCTGGATGTGGCATCAGTGCCATGGTCTGGGTGACAAGGTGGGGTTGGGTCATGGGTTGGACTCGATGATCTCAGAGGTCTTTTCCAACCTGGTTGATTCTGTGATTGATTTGTGTAACAATTAACCAAGGGTGAAGCAGCTCCAGCAGCTGAAGGAGCATCCATGAGGGATGGGCCTCTACCTGTTGGTTTGGGGCTCTCATCAGTGGTGTGAGTGGTGCTCCAGGACTTTTTGTGATTCATATCAGTGTAAAGGATACCAGATACTTGGCACAGTTTGATTGTCGTGTCCCAAAAGCTGTGTGTGGCCAGGGGAAGGGAAAGCAGGAAGGTCTTGGCATGGGATGGAAATCCTCCGTGGATAGAATGGCTTCAAAACAGACATTTTTGATTTGAGCTACGCTTTTTGACTGTTTTTGATGCTGGTCTGAGGCACAGGGGTGAACAGGGCAGGATGTAAAATGGAATCTGGAAAATCAGTCCTGCCCTGGGCAGAGATGGGGAAGGAGAGTGTGAAAGGAGCAGGGGGAAGGCTCTGAAAACATGGAAGAAGCAGAGCTGGATNTGGAATTTTCCAGGGGAAAGGTTGTGCTGTTGACGTGACTCCCCTTGAGCAGGGTCAGTTAAATTTCCTTTAATTGGTTTTCAGTAGCAATTTCAGTGTCTTCTCCCCTCTTTTCTCCTTGGAGAGAGATCTGTGCAGGTTGTTGTAACAGAGACTGGAGTGGGGCAGAATTCCCTGTGGATTCACACCATTTGAAAATCAGAAGTGGAAAAAGCAACTTCTGCCTTTTCTCTGGGTGTAAAAATACAAGGTGCAGCTTCTTTCTAGAAAGAATTTTTCTTTCTCATAGCTCTCATTTCTGAGGGGTGCAGGTGGTCTGGTGAGACTGTTTCACTGAGAACTGTATGAGCTGGGTTATAATATATTTCATATTGTGCTATGTCCAATCTTGCTTGGAAAATAAGGGATGGTGTAGAAAGAAGACAGTAATATTTGATAGCAGCATTAATCTGAGATTAATATTTATTGTGGAGTATATTTTGAGGGTTTAAATAGGAAAATCAGTCTGGTGTGAAATAAAATGTGGCTGTGGCACAGCAGGGCCTGCTGGGTGTGCTCTGGTGTTCAGCATCACCAGGGTGCTTAAGGGAGATGGTGTGATTTACAAAAAGTGCTTTTTAGTGGCTTTCAGCAAAAAAATCACCTTTTTCTTTTTGATTCTGACAGATCTGTCCCCTCAGGGTGGAAGTTACATGACCACATTGCAATGTTCAGTGAGGAGAGGTGAAGAGCTCTCACGTGTGGCTGTGAACACAGTGGGAAGTGTGCCTGGAATTTACAGACTCACTCAGTGCTGGGTTATTTCCCAGCAGTGCTGATCCATCTCCCGGCCAGGAGATGTCCCCACTTCACCACAGTTCCTCCAGGAACTCCGACACAGGTTCTGGGCTGTGCTCAGCAGTGTTTCCATCTGGTGTTTGGGAGAGAAGGAGCAAGCCCTGAGCACTGGGACAGTGGGATGTGACTGTCAGGGGCCCTGAAATACCCACCCAAGGCAGCAGAGGACACAGGGCACGGGGGGCCAAACTTAGGGGAGGAAGAAACAGAGAAGATGAAGTGAAAGGAATGAAAAAAATCCTGGTTCTGGACACAGTGACTTAGTCCCACTGATGCCAAGTAAATATTTAGAGGAGTTGGAGTGGCCACAGGAGGCATCACAATGGTTGGATAGCCAAAGCAGATGTCACAGTGATTGGATAGCCACAGGATCTTGGATAGCCACAGGAGGTGTCACAATGGTCACAGGATCTGTCACAGTGCTTGGATAGCCACAGGAGGGGTCACAGTGCTTGGAGTAGCCACAGGAACTGTCAAAATGGTTGGAGTAGCCTCAGGGTCTCTTTGTGGGATTAGAGTAGTGACAGGGCTTGTTATGGGGGTTAGAGTAGCCACAGGGCTTTTCCTGGTGGATTAGAGTAGCCACAGGGCTTCTCCCTGGGGCCAGAGGAGCTGCAGGGCCTGTCCTGGTGGATTAGAGTAGCCACAGAGCTTGTTGCACGTGTTGGAGTAGCCACAGGTGAAGGCAGGGAGAGGAGCAGGGCCAGCAGGACCTGGGCTCTGGTGGCTGGAGCAATGGACCCCGAAGCCAACGAGGATGCCACCTATTACCTGGAACAGTACAGGGCCAATCTCCTGCCCAAGCTCAGGTGAGGGGGCTCCTCCACCCTCTTCTCCTGTCTCCTCCATCCCTCCACCCCCACTGTGGCAAACTGCCATCCCTTATCTCCATCACTTCCATCCCCTCTTGTCCCTCCCTTCCCCGGCCCTGTTCCTCCTGTAACCCCCTTGCTCTGTTGGGGATCCCCCCTGGGGAGGGGTGGGGATGCCACGCTGACAGATGGGGTCTGAGATGGTGTCGGGCTGCTCTGCCCCATCACCACGCCCAGAACACAGACCAACACCCAGAGCAGTCCAGCACCCTGCAAGGACCTGGATCCAGTGTGTAACCTTGAGGAAATGCTCTCTCACAGGGCACTGGGAGAGCCAGACGAGGACCCCGCCACCTCGTTTATGTGCCTCCTGAAGAAGAAGAAAGAATTCCGATGTCTGGAAAATGCTGTGGCGGCGAAGAAAGAGGTGAGAAAGATGGGAGGGTGCTGGAGCGTGGCTGGGAGGGCTTTGGGGCTCTTTGGCGGGTGGCAGCAGCAGGCAGGTGGCTGGTTCTGGGTGTGGGCATCCGTGTCACCCTCACTCTGGTGCTGCCAGGCCTTCAAGGAGAGGATGGAGGTCATTGCCGAGCAGTGGAGGGACCTGCACGCCAGGAGGACTCAGCTGAAGGCCCACGTGGAGAGATCTGGGAGGACTGTACAGGTACTGCCCTGCTCAGCTGACACAACCCTGAGCCACACCACCAACTCCTCCCCTCCCTTGGGAAAGAGAGTTTTGGACCAGCACACCTGGCCAAGCCTCCCGTGAGCCTGGAGGTGTGAGAACAGCACTGGCAGGACACAGGGGTTTGTACCACAGAGCTGCAAAGCCCTGTTAGGGCTTGGGTGGGGAGAGCTTGTCCTGTACCCATGTGATCTCCTGAGGGCCCCAGATGTCCCCCAAGGAGGGTCTCTGCCTTGTCCCTGCTGTTGAGCTCCATCAGTCTTCCAGGGACAGGTGCAAGGAGGTCTGAAAATCAGAGTGCCAGCCCAGGTGCTGCCTCCAAGACCCTGCCATGGCCCTGTAAAATGGGGAGGAAGATTGTTCCCAGGGGTGCTCCAGTGCTGGTCTCTCCTCTCTGAAGGTGTCTCCTTCCAGTGCTGTTGAGTAACCCAGCTCCATCTTCCCTTGCCTTCCCTTCCCTCTGTCTGTGTGTGCTGATGGGGAAACATCACCAGGAAAACGAAATGCTGCGAAACCAAGCCCTGAAGAAAGCCAGCAAAGATAGAGAGGAGAGTATAAAAAAGGAGAATGAGCTTCTGAGAGCTAAGAGGGAACTGGAAGCCCTTATAAAACAGCATCAGAAACTCTGCCAAAAACTGCCAAAATACTCCATGTTCAAGAGATACCTGGAGGATGTGGTGGAGATCTCACAGGTGAGGTTGGACCTGAGAGAGGCAGATCCTGGGCCTGGGGAGGGCCTTATCTGGGTGTTAAAATAGAAGAGATAAGGCAAGTCTAGGGAAATTAAAACACTTGGTCAAACCCAGAGACCTCAAGTGGGATGGGAAGGAGTTCCCTACAACCAAGGTGAGCCACAGGGAGCAGAGTCAGGGGAGGAGAATCAGAACAGGAGGTGAAGGCTTGAGAAAACCACAGAAAAACCATGAGAAGGGGCGAAAGCTCGGGGCTGAGGGGAGGGGGGGCCCTTTGGTGTCACCATTTCAGGTCATATTGGTGGTTTGGGAGAGGTAAAGAGCTGGGAATGAGACCCAGGCAGCTGCAGTTGTGGTTGTGTTTATCAGAGCACTGCTCACCTGGGGAAGAGTTGTAATATCTCCCCTTGCCTATGGCAGTGAGAGCTCCAGGCCTGGCACGGTGGGATGTCATCACACAGGGAATGTGGTGGTGCTCAGGAGCCAACAGGGACAGTAGTCTTGTAGAGAAGGGAAGATCTTTCATCTGGGGGAGGTGTTGGCCCTGCTCAGGGCAGGGTGCCAAAGGACACGAGACCTGCAGGTGGTGAGGGAAGGCACTAACACCAGGGATCCTGTGCTGCAGTTTCGGGACATCGAGGACGTCATTTCGTTCTACAAGTCACTGATGAGGTCACGCAGGGAGCTGCTGCAGTCTCAGCAGTGGCACAAGGCAATGACTAAGCAAGCCAGGGTGCTCCTGGACCAGTACAGGGCAGAGAAAGGAGCTGAGATGCTGCGGTGCAAGAATGATCTGGCACAGCTAAAACAATATTTAGACCAGGTTCAAAGTGACATCCCTGTCTGGGTAAGGAACTGTGGGATGGGCAGGGCAAGATCTCCAAGGCCTGGCTGAGTCAAGACTGGCTGATGGCTTATCCTTCAGCCATGGGCTCATGGCAAGGCCCAGTAGCAGCCTTTGTGATTGGAGGAGATGCCTAATTTCTTCCCTCCATTTCTTCCCTGGGAGAGGGGTCAGTGGCACATGCTGCTGCAGGGGATCAACTTCCCTGCTGTGGGGAGGGCGGATGGGGCTGTTCCTGGACCTGCTTCCACCACACTGAGCTGAACCACTTCCAGCACAGCCCTGGGCAAGGCTTCCTAAGCAAGCAGATGAGTGTGGAAGTTGGGGTCTCTGAGCCAGGAGCTCCTGTGCTGAAGCAGCACCTTCAGCTGGGCCATGTCCCCCTGCTCCACATCTTCTCCCAGGAGGCTCAGTGGATCGACATCCAGAACAGGGCTGCCAAGAAGGCCACGATGCTGAAGGCCATCAAGAGGACCATCCACAGCCTCTTCCACGCTGCCAGCACACGGCTGGACGCAAAGTGGAATGTGGCAGCACATGACAGCCACAGGCAGCTGGACATGGTAAAGCCAGGCCAGAGCCCTTCTCCCTTCCCAGAAAGAGGAGCAGGAATGACTCTCAGCTGCCCAAAGGGAGGGGAGAGCCCGCAGGCCCAACAGACACCTTCCTTTTCACATGGGCCCTCTCAGGCACGGGGAAGGGGCTGGGGACTCCAGGCAAGTCTGTCTCTTCTGAGGAGGGTCCTTGTGGGGCAGAAGTGTGAGCCAGGCAGGCTGGGACAGGGGATGCAGATCAAGGCTTGGTTTCATTCACCCACTTGCCCACAAAAGCCCATTCTGGTGGTGCAGATCCAGCAAGGCAAATGCCTTGTTTGTCCTGCTGCTCAGTGTAGTTTGGGATATTTGCCTCCAAAAGGGACAACAAGCTCCCCTCTGCCCCCTGTTCCCATCCCTGCCCTGAGCTTTGCCTTCTGTCTTTCCCACCCTAGATCCAGCAGTTTATTGAAGACCTCAGGGACATCTCTACAGAGGACATGAAGAAGTACAAGTGAGAACCTATGCAGGGACCTGCCCTGCCAGCAGGGTGGAAAGGGAAAGGAGAGGAGAAGAGAACCCAAGAGATACTGCAGAATAAAAAAAAAACAAAACAAAATGTTTTAAGGTGTCTCTTCATTTCCTGGGAGGATTGGACACCTCAGAGCTCCATCCCACAGATGCCACTGGGATGCCTTCTCTGGCAGATGGGATTCTGGGTGCAGGAGACAGTGTCCCAGCAAGGTGGTGAGAGCAGGCTGGGACAGCAGAGTCTCAAACAGGGATCAGTGCTCACATTTGGACATCCCACTCAGCCTAACCTCAGCTCTTTGAGAGGGATGTTACAACATGGTAGGGAGAATTGGGGAGAGCTTCAGAGAGTTTCCACCACCACACCCACCATGTCACCTCCTCCCAGACAGCAGCTCTGTGTGCCAGGGCTGGATCTGAGCCCCTTCATCCCACAGGCATCAGCATCCTCAGGTGCTCCCCTTCCCTGCTCTTCTGTGAGACCAAGCACACAGCAGCAGGAGAGAGAAACAAAACCAAGCAGGAGAGAATGAACTTTGTTGTGGCCCTCAGGGGTGTCCCAGAGATTGGTAAATGTCTTGCACTGGTGATGATAACCAAGAGCAGTAGCTCTTGGAAAAGTCAACTTGTGACTCATCCAAGAGCAGGGAGGATGATGTGCGTTTGTGCCCTTGCATCTCGTCTCAGCTGTGACATATCCAGAGGCACCAGGATCATTTACACCCCTCCTGAGAGGTGACTCATCTGTCCCCTCTCCTTCCACCCACAGCCACCCCCTCACCCGCTTTGTTGCCTCTCGCTGGTGGCAGCTGATGGGAGTTAAAGCAAAAGGAGCAGCTCTGGCCCCTGAGGAAGGCGGGGGCTGCAGTGCCTGCCACTCCTGAGTGGTGGTGTGAGGGCACTGCTGGCTCCAGGGGCTTAAGGAGAAGGCAGAGTGATGGGCCAGGTTACCTGAAGTCCTTTAGATACCGAGTGCTGGGCAGTTTGGAGATGTTAGGCTGCAGCTCAAGTGCTGCGTCAAGTTCTGGGCCCCTCAATTTAGGAGGGATATTGAGGGGCTGGAGCAGGTCCAGGGAAGGGCAACGAGGCTGGGGAAGGGTCTGGAGCACAAGTGCTGTGAGGAGCAGCTGAGGGAGCTGGGGGGGCTCAGCCTGGACAGGAGGAGGCTCAGGGGAGACCTTCTCACTCTCTGCAACTCCCTGACAGGAGGGGGGAGCCGGGGGGGGTCGGGCTCTGCTCCCAGGAACCAGCAGTAGGACAAGAGGGCACAGCCTTGAGCTGCACCAGGGCAGGTTTAGGTTGGACATGGGGAAGTTCTTCCCAGAGAGAGGGATCAGCCCTTGGAATGGGCTGCCCAGGGAGGGGGTGCAGTCCCCGTCCCTGGAGGGGTTTGAGCAGAGCCTGGATGTGGCATCAGTGCCATGGTCTGGGTGACAAGGTGGGGTTGGGTCATGGGTTGGACTGGATGATCTCAGAGGTCTTTTCCAACCCAGCTCATTCTGTGATTCTGTGATTCTGTGATTCTGTCTCTTCCCCAGATGCTGAGCTGAGCTCCTCTGATGAACCCTCAGCACAGGACAACAGAATCACAGAATCAATGAGGTTGAAAAAGACCTCCAAGGCTGTGTGAGTCGACACAGCTGGTCGGCCTGAACAACCATAAACCCACTGAAATGCAAAGGCTAAATTTATTTAATTCCCTTGCTAACTGGAGGATCCTAAAGCAACACCAGGGTGGAGACACACAAGCGGGAACGCTGGCACCATTGAGCTCAGGTGATGGGTGGCAGGGCTGCTGTTGGCACCAATTTGTCAAGGGCCCTTTCTCTGGGGAGCTGGACAGGAGGGAAACCCTCTCAGCTAAGGCAAAGCAGCCAAGGCATCCCTAGACCAGCAGAAAGACAAGCTCTGCTCTCACCACTTGTGAGATGCCAGAAGATGCCGAGTTGGAGCTGTGCTGGTCCTGCTCCACACAGGGGGCTCTCAGGGTTGCCAGGCTTTCCTGGGCCACCTGCCATCCTTCTCCTGCCTGCTGGAGCCATCCTGCTGGCTCAGGGTGCTCAGTCCCAGCAGAGGAGGTGGCAGGACCCACTGCCCAAGCACAGTGTGCTGGGCATCACTACAGTACAGTTCCTTCCAACTCTATTCCTGTCCTGGGCAAGGCCAAACCACTGTGACTCACGGTGCCATGGGATATGGGGGCAAAGACTAAAATTACCTGATCAGGTATCAGGGTTTCAGTTCTGAGGATGATAAATAAGTTGTTTGTGTTTACAGCCTGCCATCTGCTCAGGGAATTGCAGGGGTTGGATTTGTTTGCGTGGTGGTTTCGGGGTTTGGGTGGGTTTTTTCTAAGATTTCTCTCTCGGCACAGAGAGGAGATGACTAAAGTATTGGCTAAATCTGCAGTGTTTTGCCTCTTTTTGATGGAAAATCCCCAACACACTGAGATGTTGTTATTGGTTTAGTCTGGACTCTGCCAACATTTCCTCTGGAGCAGCTGGCTATTCCACCAGTGTGGGAAGGGGTTAGCAGTGCCAGCACTCTGCTCTGCAGGGCAGCTCTGCCCTGGCACCAGTGGTGGCATTTCCCAGAGCCACCAGACGAAGAGTGAGTGACAGGGACACGCTCTGGCACAGAACATGACTGCACAGAAAGGCACTGTCAGCTGCAGATCCCTTGGGATGCTCTCTCCTGGAGACCTGCAACCTCCCCCCCAGGCACTGTGCCACGAGGACAACCCAGTGCCAGCACTGACCAGTGTCTCCAGTGGTGACCTCAGGAGACACTGCTGGTTTGTTAACCCCAGGATTAGCACCTGGCAGGCTGAGCACCCCTGGGTGTCATTAAACCCAAATTAGAGCATTGTTTGTGCACATCCAGTTTCCAGCCACCTGATCCAAGAGAGGATGCCAAGAGCTTCCTGGTCCCCTTTCTCAGTTCCTGGCACAGAAGCAGGTCACATCCATGAGTGACTGGAAGCTTCTCTGGTCCTACACAGCCCAGATTCCATCCTGCCTTTCTGCTCCTACTCAGCCCATCTCCCACCTCCTTGTGCTCTCCTGCATGTCCACCATGAGGTGCTTCTCATCTGTTCTTTAATCACCCTTCCCAAGCCCAGGAAACACCAAAAACCACAAGACCCTACAGCCTGCAGGCCCTGCAAGTCCAGATCCTCCTCCTGGGAGAACTGGGGGGTGGGATACAGGAGGGGGAGAGTTGGGGTCCAAGGGAGGATGTGGTGCACCCAGACCTCCTGCCAAGTGCCACACAGAGAAGACATTTGGTGTTCCACAACCCCCCTGTAAACGGTGCCATTGAGGCTTGGTGAGGACAGAAGGCTCCTCTTTTGTTACCACTGAACAAAGATATTTAAAGAGTTCAGGGCCCTGAGCAGGAAGAGGTATTAACCCAGGGAGGCAGTTTCTTGCCTTTCCAAAGATTTTTCAGCCTGGCCCAAAAGTGAAATGTTAAGAGCCAGAAATGGCAGGGTTGGGTACAGGAGCTGCTCTGTCCTCCTGCAACACCAGGGAAGTCCAAAGTCCAGCCTGACTTTTTAGGATCTGGTTTCTGTTCCACCCTGCTGTGACACAGCCCGAGCCATCTCTCTGAAAAAGGTCCCAGGTGGGGAAATACCTATGAACCAAGCTTCCAACAGACATTTATTGGTTTGGGTTGAAATCAATGCACATGAAACAGCATCGCTCCCGTGTGCTGGGCACCTTTGCCATCACTTATAACAGAGGCCAGCACGCCCAGGCCAGCAGCCTGTCCCCTTCTCCATGAGCAGCCACTCAAACACAGCCCATAAACAAAGAGCAGAACAGGCCAGGACCTTTCCCACCTTCCCTGCCTGCCCAGCACTGCTCCACAGCCAGAGTCTGGGTCTGGGGGCCTTGTGGGGTGCAGGTAAGGATGAAGTAGAGGGGCAAGTTCTGAATCAAGGGCTCTTCCTTGCCACGGGCTCCCTCTCAGCCCAACCAAACACACTGGCTGAGTTACTCATCCAGCCCAGTAAGACCCTGGGAAGGCAAGGACAGTGAGAGGAGCCTTCTGGGTCTTGAGCCTTTGGTCTGTGTGGATCAAAGCAAACTCACATATCGTGACTGCAGAGTGACCAAGCAAAGCACCCACCGGACAGTTTCTGGAAGGGCAGGGAGGGAGTGGCCCAACCTGTCCCATCAGCTCCTGGATTGGATGCTACAGATGATGGACAGCTCTGACAACAGCCCCAAGGGTGAACTGCACCTCACTCAGGGTGGGCAGAGCAGAGGGGAGCTCTCTGTGACTTAATTTGCTCCTGTGATCTACAGGTGCTCCCACCAGTCCACACTGAAGCCTCCCCCAAGCAAGGGGAGCACCAGAAAGTGGCAGGTGATGGTTGTAGGGGGCTGTAGGGCATTACCAATAAGCAGTACAAAGTAGGCAAGCTCCAAACAGAGAGAATTGAGGTAAACTCAGAGGTGACATGAACCAAAGCAGGGTCAAGTTTGCTGGATTCACGTTTGCAGGTGTCATGTTGGCCCACTTGGGCCTTGCACCCTGGTCTGTGAGTGGGCAGAGGGACTGGTTTAGTTTGTGGACTTATCTGGCTGCTGGTAGGATCCATGTCTTGGGATGGAGGAGGTTGCTCAGGAAGGATAAGGGAGTGGAAACCCCCTTGCAAAGGTTAGAGAACAGATTTCACACACTGGGTTCTCTGGCAGTGCTGATATATGAGGGAAGACTGAGAGAACTGGGTTGTTCAGCCAGGAAAAGAGAAGGTTTCAGGGTGACCTAATTGTGGCCTTCCAGGACCTGAAAGAGCTAAAAGAAAGATGGAGAGACACTATTTATAAAAGCATGGAGTGACAGGACAAGGGGCAATGGGTTCAAACTGACAGAGAATAGGGTTGGATTAGATATTAGGAAGAAATTCTTGGCTGTGAGGGTGGGGAGGCCCTGGCACAGGTTGCCCAGAGAAGCTGCCCCATCCCTAGAAGTGTCCAAGACCAGGTTGGATGGGGCTTGGAGCAACCTGGGCTGGTGGAAGGTGTCCCTGCTCATGGCAGGGGGTGGAAAGAGATGATCTTTAAGGTCCCTTCCAACCCAAACCAGTCTGTGACTCAATGAGGAACTTGGACCCACTTATGGCACTGCACTAGGAAGGATCCCACCTGCATTGTGCTTTGTAAGGGTGAATGTGCTGTCAGGTGCTATTGGAAAAGCCACAGGGGTTGTGACCAACTCCCTGGCATGGTGACCAGTGACCCAGGCAGGAACACCATCTCATGACCCTGCAGCAAAGTGCAGCAGGGCTGAGCTGGGGGAGTCAGCATTTTGGCTGGAGGACAAGGCAGAAAGAGCTCCTGGGCAGCCTCCCAAAGGGGAGGCCACCCCAGGCCACCCAGTGAAGCCACAGCAGCTACAGGGCAGAGGGGCAGGGTGGGAGGGGTGAGAGGCCTTCACACCCAGGGAGAAGGAAAGCTCCTGTCCTGCTGCCATGGGCACCAGCAGCTCTGGCTGTGCCACCTCAGCACAGATGGATGCTCAGAAGGGACAAGGGGCTGAGCACTGGGTGACATCAGGGTGCCCTGAGTCTTTTGCACAGGACTGTGTCCAGCTCTGGTGCCAAGCCCAGAGGCGCTGGCTGGGGCACTGGAGGGCAGGACTGAACACCCTCCTGGCACTGAGAGCATCTCACCTGCTGTCTCCACCTTCCCCTGCCATGCCTCCAGTCTCCTGCTGGGTTTTCCTTTCCTTCTGCATGTTGCCCTGTTCTGAATTTTGCTCCTGTTGTTCTCAGCTCCCCTTTTTTCTTGGACCTGAGCACTGAATCCAGCCATGGTGAGGTGGGGAAAGCAACTCATCTGCCCGTAGTTGCACACGCCCGGTCTGTGCTCTGGTAGTAACTCCACAGGGAGCATCCCTGCACTCAGCAGGCTCCAGGAACTGCCCTGCACCTTTGCTTGGTTCTACCCAAAGCCACAGAGAACCTTGCAACAAAACCAAGGCAAACACAATGAAACCCAAACCAGAGACATTCCCCACCAAGAGTCCCTGGGAATCGTCCCACAGACACTCAAAGGTTGTACAAAGCTAAGGATGAGACAATCATCTGTGGGCACAGCATGTCTTGGATGGTGGAGCACAGTGTTCTCCAAACATGTGCTTTTTTTAACCCTGTGTCCAGGGGAAGGACTGCACCGGTCCCTTGGTCGTGGCCTCTGCTGCCGCCGCTGCACACGCCTTCCAAGCTGAGCTCGGGTGGGATGTGGTGTTTGTTGATGCCATGGAGGATGTGGTACCACTGATGTGGTCACTCAAACTTGCACCAGCCTGCTTGGGAAGCCCCTCTGGTGGTGGTGCTGCCGTGGGAAGCATGGACAATGACGGGAGGTTGAACCTCTCGGAGGAGAGCAGGTTGTGGAATCTGGCTGGAGACCTGGGGAGGAAAGGCAAGAGATGGGAAACCATGAGTTGCAACCATGGGATTCCCTTGGTGCCTCCCTTCTGCAATGGCCAGAGAGCCAATCCTGCCTTATAGAGCACCCAATGCCAGCGAGAGGAACTGTTGGCTCTCAGGCCACTGGCCACAGTGGAAGTCTCCAGTGATATTCAAGATGAGATGTATCCTCCCACAGAGGCTACAACCCACTGGACCTCCATTACCATCATCTTCCTCTCACACAGTCCCACGTGGGGTCAGTCAGGTACTAGTGCTCAGCTCTGGCCCTGCTCACGCCCTCTGGGTGCAGCCCAGGTGTGGAGGAAGGTGGGAGCTCAGTGGGTGGATGGTTTCACCTCCTTGCCAGCTGCCCCATGCTGAGCTGTAAGGTCTGCACTCAGATTTGTGGTGCTGGAGCACAGGATTTCACTTCTGCTGGAGTAAAGCACATCCTTACAGACATAACTTCATCTCAGCAGTGACTTGGTCCCCTGTGTCCTCAGCGCACACTGGCCGGAGTGAGCTCAGCTCACCAGTCACCTGAGCTCCCCACCAAGCTGTTCAGGCCTTGCTTGACTTGTCTGCACCCCACAAACACCAATTTTGGCAGCACGTGCTGTGGAGCAGAGTCACACACAGGCATCAGAGCAGGGAGAAAGCTCAAGCCGGGCAGAGCTGGGGATCCAACCTGGCCACTTCAGCCTCCTCCTGGGATGAGCTGGGAAGTCCATGCCAGGCTGCACTGGTAAGGAGCACCTCTCTATGAGTCTGCCACTCCCTGAGACTTCTACAAAGTGACCACTTTTAGAATGAGTTATGTCCTGAACCTCTGGCAAATGCACAGGGGCTGCCTGGTTGCCCCTCGCCAGCCAGAGGACAGTCCTGTGTCACGGGCACGGCCTGGCCTTGGGTGATCCCTGTTTCCAAAACACTGGCACATCTCTGTGCAGCTGAGCCAGGAAGGCCCAGCACAAGGAAGCCCCTCTTGCCCAGCCCAGCTTCCAGGATGTGCACACTCACCATGGTCATGTCCTGTGCCCAGGAGCTGGGACTGGCTACATGATGGAGCAGGTGAAGCCACAGCACTCCTTGAGCAGGGTGAGGCCTGTCTTGGTCATGTACGGTGCCGAGGTTTGCTGTCCCCTGGAAGTCATCTTCTTCTCTTTGACAGGAGCTGTGGAAAGAGGAATTGGGCTCTGCCTGGTGACCAGGGCACAGGCCCATGGCTGATTCTTAGAGCTCCTCTCAAGGCTCAGTTGCTGACCCTCCTCAGACCCAGCTGGGCACGAGCTCCTGCACCCAGGAGGCACATTGCCATGTGTGCTTCCTGCGTGTCCACAGGGGTCCTGGGCTGGAAATGCCTCCCACTGCACTGGGAAGGTGATGGAGGCACGGGGAAAAGGGCGACCTGCCATCAGAGGCTGTGGTGTCCATCCAGGATGTGACCTTAGGTAGTGGTGAGATGGGATGTAAAGAGCTGGTTGGAAAGGGTCGGATGAAGCCCATCAGCTATGAAAGGACACCTACCCACCCCCATTCTCATAGGACATGGTGGCTGGGAAATGCCAGGAGGGAAATGGAAGCACAACATCTGTACCAATTTGGGACATTTCCACGATGTGATCTCAAGCACCAGCATCCCTCAGTTGCCATTTCCCCACACCCTCCTACAGCAACAGATGGTCTCCAGGTAAGCCAGCCCCAGGCTGAGCAATGAAATCTTGGAGACAGGGTGCTTAGGAGAGGGGAGAAACTGCCAGGGAGGTTCAATTCAAGGAATGAAACTCATCAACCACCTACTTGCTTTCTGGAGGTAGCTTTTGGAGAGCTTACTTTGCAGGAACTCTGCCATTTCCTTGTCTTCTTCCCTTTCCCTGTGACAAAGAACTTGGTTACCATTCAGGAAAGGAACAGGAGCATCTGGGAAGGCAGGATGCAGATCAGAGGACAGACTGCACTGTCCTCAGTGCAAGGAATAAGTTGCACTGAGCTACCTGAGCCTCTCAAATTCCACGTCATCCACCAAGAAATCCCGTGTTTCCACCAGCTTGTGTATCTGCTGGACCAGCTCCTCTTCCCTCTGCTTCTCCTCGTTGGACTTCTCATTCTCTGCAGCACAGAGAACACATTTAACACACCAACAGGGCCCATCCCACCCTTGTCAACCCAGGAGCAGATATGACAGTGGGGGTAAAAGCCAAGGCAAAAGAAGCAGCTGGATCCAGGCACAGGCTGCTAAATAAGCAACAACCTCATCCCAAGCCATCCTGGCTGGAAGGAGACACGTCTGCTGTCATCAAACTTCAAAGTTTTAGCTTCTCCCCAAAACTTTCACAGGGCTGAGCACTGTAAGATGCATCTCTGAGCTCTGCAGAGCAGAGACAGGGCCCCTCGGGACGTGTTTAACACCCATTTCCCAAGCCAGCACATCCAACCAGCCCCAGCTTGGCCCTGAGCGGGGTACAGGTCCAGAGATCTCAGAGTCAGGTCCTCCATGTGGCTGAGAAACCTGCTGGGGATTCAGGTGTGCAGGGGATGATCAGCACTGGGCAGATGCCCCAGGAACACCTCACACCTCCATTTATGTCACACACAGAGACATGAAAAACAATCCACCGGTTTTGTGGCCTTACTCCCTTGCTGAACATGCTCCTGGTGATCTCATCCTCTACATCTGACCTTCCAAAACACTGTCAGTGCCGTTCCCACCCCAGCAACAATGATGGCCCCAAGTTTCTGCCAGGCTATTTTGAATCCATCGGCTTTGGTCGTCACTTGAATCCTCCCAAGAGACTCACCTTGGGCAGGACCCACTCGTGCCACAGATCTTTGGGCAGAGAGTTAGTGAAGGCCTGGAAAACTCTCACATCACTATGAAGTCCTGCCCTATATGAATTTACAGAATCACAGAATAGTTAGGGTTGGAAGGGACCTCTTGGAGATCATCTAGTCCAACCCCTTATTTAGTTTGTAGCTGCATTTTAAAAGCCCAGCACGATGTTTCTGACTCATCAGAAGCTGCAATTGCTGTAAGCATCCCCAGTGAACAGAACCACACCTGACATGGACCTGGCCTTACATTTTCACTTGCTGTAGGAGAGACGGATTGAATGAACAGGTTTAGCTCCCTATTGGTACACAGTGGTCAGTGGGATACGTGAGGATTGGAGTCATAGGGATAAGGAGTGGGAAATATCAATGGAGAGATCCCCAGCTGGGAACTCTGACTGTTTGTGCTGCAGCTATTTAATACCAAGCCTGAATTCAGCAGCCCAGCCCAGAATGGATCAATCTCCAGCCTTCCTTCAGCTAAATAAAAATACAGAGAAATTCACAGTATGGAGCGAGCCCTGTTGGCTGGGTCTCAGCAGTGACCTAAAGAGAGCATTGATTAGTGGTTTGAAGTCTGCTGTGGATCAGTGGAGGTGCTGCTGCAGGGCTCTGGGAAGGAGGAACCACTCAGAAACATCCCCAGCAAACAAAGGGTTTTCCTGTCACTGTGCTTTCGTGCACAGAATGCACAGAATGAGCTTCCCGGCAGAGAAAGCTTCTCTGGGCTGGGGGCTGGGCCACCCCTGCTGGTCTTCCACCAGGAAGAGTTAATGCACAGTCACCTGGCCCTGGGCACTGTCTCTGTGCAGCTCCCACCTGCCTGGTGGGAACAGGAACACTTCCAAGTGGATGCCACACAAATGGGAAACATCAGGCTGTGCACAGCACCTGGAGTTAATCAACAACCTGCAATCCCGAGGTGGGGCATGTCAGAGTTAACCTCCCACTGCACAAACACTGCACCCTTCTTCCAGACTTGTGATGTCAGAGCCCACCACGACCACTCTGAATTACTGAAGGCACCTTGGCCTGGCGAGATTTCAGGTCTGAATTCAACAGCCCAGCCCAGAATGGATCAATCTCCAGCCTTCCTTCAGCTAAATAAAAATACAGAGAAATTCACAGTATGGAGTGAGCCCTGTTGGCCTGGTGAGATTTCAAGCCCCAGGTCTGGCTGGGCTCTGAGTAAGCTCTGACGTGGTCAAATCTTTATCGGAAGCGAGGACTGCTGTGACGCTCTCTCCAGAGCAGTGATGTGCAGGATTTTTCCAGCACCGTCTGATCTGAGTCAAGCAAGAAAGAAGACAAAAAGAGCATCCCTGATGCGAGCAGAATTTCTGCTTTCAGCTGAATCTGGGAGTGCTAAAAAGACATGAAATGAAAGACCGAAGCAGATGAGGGAAAGCCAGACACATTTCTCCAGCGTCAGAAAAGGCCAGTTTATCTCTGGTCCTGAGCCATGGTTTAGGTAAAGTCTTAGTTTAGGTGTTTGAATTAAAAGCCTACATAAGATTTGGGTCTGTTTTGCAAGCAGGTCCCATTTTTATGGCAGGATGCTCCCTTTCCTGTCTGAACTCCCTCTGGGTACAGGCAGGTTGTATTAAACTAATCAGGACCTGCATATTAAGCAGCATTTGGGCTCCAACTACGTGCTGAAGATTCACAAGCACACACAGCACAGCCCCACTGTGGCTTCAGACAGGGTCAGGATTTGCTGCCACTCTTGGCTTTGTGGTGACCTCGGGTACAGAACTGATGAGCTGAGGTGGTGCCTGGGGAAACAGGTCCAAATCCTCATGCTTGGGTGGGTACAAATAAGCAGGGATATGTCTCCCATCTGCCTCTGAAAGCAGTCCTTGCTGAGGGCTGAGTGAGTGTGTCCCAGGAGTAGGCAGAGCCTTATGAGCAGGGATGGACACGGCCTGTGGGGAAGCCTTTCCTGCTCAGTCTCATTCCGACCTGGAGCTGTGTGGTGAGTGCTTTGATTTGAATACTGAGAGAGATCCTTTACAGAAACGAGGTTTGGCCTCTCCTGGGCTGTGAAGGGACAAGGGTGGCTGTAGCTGTGACAGGACATGGAGGGTCACTGGTCATGGTAAGGGAGGTGACAAAGCAGCACTTCCTCCCAGCTGAAGTTTTCACACATATTGCCCTGGCCTGTTTGCCTCTTTTCAACATCCTGAGTGGTGAATCCACCTAAATCAGGGACATCACCAAGTCCCTTTGGCATGGCATCCCCCTAGCACCCATCCCACCCTGGCTGCAAGCAGGAACCCTTCCCTGGCAGCTGCTGCCCTCTGCCCAACACAGACACACATTCTGACATGGCCACAGCAAGAATTCATTCCTTTTCACACACTTAAGGCCTTTGAAGGCATCTCTCCTTCTTTTAACTCCAAAGGGGTCCCTCCATGGTGTGATCAGACAATGTCTCCTGCTTGTCCTCTTGACTCATTTGGGATCCTCCCTGGTGCACTGTGTTGGGATTCACTCCCTCAGCTCCCCTTCTCCTCTACCAGACCTCAAATGACTTATTTCTCTGCTTTTCAGTTTTCTCTGCCCTTTATCCCAAGCCTGGACAAGAACTCCCTGGAAGTACTCCCACGGAGAATCTCAGGAGGCACTCAGGGAGCCCCATTTGTGGATGCAGCAGCGACTCTGGGAGCATCCTGGGGTGGGAGCTCCCAAAGAGCTTCTTGTATTTCCTGGAACCTTTCTGCTGACTGCAGCAGGGTGCAGTTCTCTGAAGCTCCACAAAACCTTACCTGGCAGGGCTATGAGTTTTTGAAGCTCCTTTTTCAGCCGGCTGATTTCTTTACAAAGCTGAATGTCATCCATCCTGCAGGGACACAAATGAAACCACTCAGGGGAGAAGACTGGGAAAGGAAAGGTTCAAAACCCCCAGAGTAACACCCAACTAATGCTGGAAGGCAATGCATTCAGTGCCCGTGGTGGGGAGCATGGATTTACCAGCCTTCCCAGAGGAAATGGGAGCCCACTTCACCCCAGAGCCACATGGGTTGGGTTGCTGGTTGTTGGCAAAGCAAAAGTTTCACTGCCCTAACGACAGTGAAGCCTTATTAAAACCTGGCACACCCACCAGGCAATAGCAGCTGTGTCTCTCCTTCTTCCAAAAAAATAATGCCCAAAAGGTAGAATCCAATAAAAAAATGGATGCCATATAAGAGGATCTGACCTTTTCATCCTGCCTTCCTGCAGAATTAAAAGAAGTTAGAAATATAACAGAGGGGGGAAACGTGCAAACTTTGCAGGTGTCTGCTGAGAAACAAGGTCATTTCAACAGGAGAAAAGGAGCCTGCTGAAGCCAAAGGCAATGGAAACATCTCTGGCTCAAACCCCACGACAGCAGCAAGGTGCTGATCAGGGTGGGCCCAACTCAAACATCAGCTGCTGGATCCAAGGGGGGACACGTGGCCCTGTCTGAGCTGAGGCAGTTTGGACGTCTCAGGAGCACCACAGACACTCAGCCCCTTCCATGGGAACCAGCTCAAGTGCTGCTTGTGGCTTACTGGGGCTGGCAGAGGAACAAACTGATTTATTTTCAAAACTCTCATGCCTGTGCCCTTGGTAAAGCCAAGCTTCTCTGGGAAACCTGTACCAGGGCCTCACAGCCCTCACAGGGAAAAATTTCTTCCTAACATCCCATCTAACCCTGCCCTCTGACAGTTTGAAGCTGTTCCCCTTTGTCCTGTCACTCCAGGCCCTTGTAAACAGTCTCTCTCCATCTTTCCTGTCACTCCTTCAGGTCCTGGAAGGCCACAATTGGTCACCCCAAAGCTTCTCTTCTCCAGGCTGAACAATCCCAGCTCTCCCAGCCTTTCCTCCCAGCAGAGCTGCCCCATCCCTCTGATCCTCTTGGTGCCTCCTCTGGACTCCCTCCAGCAGCTCCATGTCCTCCCTGTGCTGTTCCCCAGAGCAGGATCTGTGTCTGCAGATAATCCATGGCTGATGAGCTGGTGCCCCCCTGCCCAGCTGTGCCGCCGGTCCCTTTGGAAGTGGGAGTTCCTAAAAGCCTCGTCTGCATCTCCAACAATCCTGCTGGTCCTTCCACTGAGTCACACTGTCCACCCTTCTGGGATGAGTCATGTTTACCGGAGCTGCCTGAAGATGCAGCTGTGTCAGCTGAGCTGAGGACACCAGAAATGGAAGGGAAAATAAACAATCTCACAAAGAGGAACCCTGTGAGATGCTGCTGTGGGAGGGGATCAGCTCAGGTGAAGGAGAGGGCTCCCTCTTGGCTCTGTCACACTTTTGCTCCAGCTGACAGAGTTTTCCCTGGTCTGCATTCCCCACTGAACGGGTCCAGCAGTGCCAGTGCTCGGGAGCTGCACATGGAGAGCAGGGAGGGCTCTTTGTCCTCTTCTCGGGTCCTGTGGTGGCTGAGCCCTGAACTTGGACAAAGAGCACCAGCTCTGCATGGGACACAGGGATAACAGGCTGATTGCTGGTGATAGGCTTACTGAAATGAAAAATTAAAATGAAATTAAACGGTCAAATGAGAGCTGAAATATTATTATGTTTAAATCAGAAATTAATTCTGGGAAAACCGATAGTGAGAATAATAAATGGGCAATAATAAAAACTCTCATTTCAGTAAAACTTGGGAGGGATTGCAGGGAGAAGCACCCAGAAAGCTGCTGCTAGAGCTGGGATTGCTTCTACCAATAGTTTTCACACCTATTGCAGCACCAGCCAGAGCCAGGGTACCCCTGCCCGGTCCCAGGGAGCAGGTCAGGGCACTGAGGAGGGTGGGTGCAGAGCTGAATCTCCCACAGGCATTTCAGACCTTTCCTCTTGCCCTATAAAAGGAGAAATTTTGGGAGCTTCTTTGTTTTCCAGAGCACAGACACCTCAGAAGTGCTGGAACATTTTAGTTTGACATTTCCAACAAGGAGAAAACACTGATTGCTATCGACTGACCAGTTTGGCAGCACACCCTGGGAAATGTCCACCTCCCCAGGGCCGACAGTCCAACCACCCTGAACATCACACTTTTTCCCCACTGGGGAAGAAAAGAAGCCCTTGCAGCCCCAGTTCCCCATCCTTTTAAACCCTGTCTGGCAGAACACAGAGGTCTGGGATCTCCCTTCTCCAGCCCTCAGCCTTCCCTGCCCCACAGATCCACAATCCTCCTCACAGAGCTGATGCTCGAGTTCTCACAGCACTCCCAAAACACCCAGACACACAATCCCAGCACTTCCAAACTCCCAAGGGATCATTTTTGCAGCCATGCCCACCCCAGCATGTGGTTTCTGCAGGTGATCTCCCTCTGTTTTCCAAGTGCAAGGCAAAGAACAAAACAAACAGAGGGACAAGAAAGAACAAGATCTGTGAGCTTTGACAGCACCAGAGAGAATCAGGCACCAGTTGCCATGGGAGGCATTGAAAAACTACACTCTTTATGAATTCCAAAAATCCTTTTCAACGTGTTCAGGGGGAACTGTGCCTCAAAGAGGCCACTGTTACAAATCAGCCACAGTCCAGCTCACAGCTTCCCCACACACTGGATTTACACAGGGATTTCCAGGCTTTGGTGATCCCTGCAGTGCAGGTACCACTGAGGAACCAGACACATCATAAAAACCCCAACACATCAAGTGCTACAGCCCAGGAAATATGATCTTTGCCATTACCAGTACAAAAATTCCAGGTTTCTATTGGCCTGGCAGCATGGGATCTGAAGACTGGGCTGGCTACAGCAATTCAGTGGTATTAAAAAGCTTAATCAACGCAAACTTGATAGTTTTGATGAGTCCTTTTCCTTTCAAAATCCCCTGGTATACCCAGGAAAAATGTTCTTTAACCCTCCTGTACCTTTATGTTGCAGCTGGTTTAGTGCTGCTGCAACACAGTGGCTATTTGATTGCCTTAAATCTGAAAGGCCTAGAGATTTTTTTTACCCACAAACTGCTTTGATTATTGAAGTGAACCATGGAGAAAATCCTTCCCTCCTCACTGGGCTGCAAAGGCTGTGCTGAGAGTGGAGATGCAGGATGCAGGGTGGCACCAGGCACTGATGCTGGTCCAACCCTGGTGTGTCCCAGTGATCCCAGGGGCCAGGGGATGGAGGAGGAAAGGGGAAGTTGGGAGGATGTGCAATCCTTCAGTGTGGAAGGATAAACTGTGTTCATGTGGCTGTTCTGCAGCTGCAGATCTTCATGCTGGGGCAAAGCCACATCTCCAGAGAGCAGCAACAAACCACCAGCCTCAGGTCCCTTCCCAATCCCAGCCCAAGAGCCTCACACTGAGGATGAGTATGGACCCACTGGGAACATGGGGTGCTGGTGGTTGACCATGGAAACATTTGTGTAGCTAAATCCATGGGATAAACTCTGTTTGCACAGAATTAGGCTGGCTCAGACCTTCACAGCATCAGTGGCAGCTTTATAACCCATTAAAGCCCCTCCTGAGGGTGAGGCCAGAGCAGTGGGAGAGGCTGTGCTTCCCGGTGGAAAACAAGGTGGAAAGCAGCCTGAGCTCTGCCCGCCCCTGGGGATGATCTGCTTGACTGGGCAGGAGAAGATGCTGGGATTCCCCTGGGAATGGGGCACAGTGCCAGGGCAGGGCAGGTACTCACATGTACCGCAGCTCCGACTCCCTCCTCACCAGGATCTCCCTGATCCTCTCGATTTTGAAGAGCTCTCCTTCGATGTCATCGATGGTGGTGGTGGAGTCGGCCATGGAAATGATCTCATCCTCTGCCAATGGAACAGGAGCCGTGTCAGTCAGCAGGAGATGCCAGGTGGGTGCTGAGGCCAACAGGGACCACGGGGGCTTGGAGCCCCCAAAACCAGCATCACCTCACCTGCTTCATGCTGGTCTTGCACACCCTGCTCACACCAGTGCTGTGCCTGGCTCTGTGCTGCTGAGAGAGCCCCACATTTCCAGAGTTTCCCCCTCTCTGGACAGCAGGAGGCCAAGGGAGCTAAAAACTGCTGGAGGGAAGGGCAGGAATGCCTCTTTTCCCAGAACCATGTGAGCTTCAGCCACCTCAGCACAGAGCCACGAGCCTGTGTGTGCACCCTTCTCCAGCGCGTGCCAGGAACAAATTCTGGACTCACACAGCACAGAGCTAAGGAATCATGGACATGAAAGTCCTTCAGCTGCTCCCCTTCCATCACAGGCTGGTTGAAGTCCCCCCATGCTCCCCAGTTCACCAGGGGAAGAGCCCTCATGGCACCCAGCAGGCCAGTTCAGCTTCCTCGACCTCTGGAGTGCTGAGCCATCACCTCTGTAACCCACTTGGGGAAACTGAGGCAGGGAAAGGGGATGTCCCTTCCTGAGGGCAAGAGGCAAGAATTCACAGCAAAATGCAGACAAGAAGGGGCTGTAACTTGTGTTTTAGAAGGATGGACAGGATGAAAGCCCAGCAACCCCCATCCATGGCCCTGACCACCAGCTCTGCCTCTCCCTGCCAATGACTTACACCCAGATGTTCCACTGTTTGCACAAGGTTGTTCCCCAGGCTTACACGTGGATGCTGTGTGGATTCACACAGTGCCTGTGGATCCCACAGTGACTCCCAGACCATTTCATGGGAATGTCTCCCAGGCCAGCTGCCACCTCCCAGCCTGGTCTGGCTCTCAGAGACACAACACTGAGCTTGTTATCAGTGACAGGCAGCAGCACATTCATCACACACAGGTTAATCTGGCTCTCCTGGGATGTGCTACAGCAAAGCCAGGCTGTGAGAAAACATCCAAAATAACACATGAATCTTTCTTTCAATCTTCACAGGGTCTTCCTGCAGCCCTGGGACTTTCCCCATGCAGGGAAAGGGGAAAGCACAGCCATGAAGCACCAGCTCTGGGAACAGGATTTTCCAGGCAGGTGATGTTTGGGAACTGGAGTTGTCACAGTGTGTGGTCTGGGCATTCCAAACAGGACCCAGGCCAGTGCTTAAGGGTTATAGGGTAGCCAGGGACCAGCATTAAGGCACAAGACCAAACACTTCAGTCACTGGTCCTCTACCCATCACGTAAAACTACTCGGGAAATCACTCCCAAAGCAAGGCATATTTCCAAGGCTGCCAGCAGGGAAGGCTTACTGGGAAAATATGACTGGTTTGGGTCAGTGTGACTGGTTTGTAGAACAATTTTCTCCTGTTTCTGGCTTAAAAACTCATGGGGATTTCTTGGAGATTATGTCCCTTTTCCCCTAGACACAAAGGTCATGTTCAGCTTATGCCAGTGTGGGAATCCTCCATCACTCCCTGTCCTAAACCATCAGGACGCTCTCAGGAGCCAGCACTTGCTCAGGACAGAAGGATGAGTCCCTGGGCTGAACAGAGTGTGGGATTGGATGCACTGCTCTCCATCAGCTCTCGCTCAAAGGCTCTGCTACAAATGAGCACAAACCCCCTCCCTTTGCCTTGTTTCCATGGGCCTGATGTGGGTTGCTAAGGGACCGGCCTGTGGTTGCTACAGGATCAGGATGCGGTTGCTAGGGGACCAGAGTGTGGTTGCCAGGGGACCAGGATGCAGAAGTCCCTCATCCCAAGCATCCTGATGCTCTGCCACCCCAGAGCTCCTCTCACCTGGGATATTTGGCTGCACCTGCCCCCAGCACTGCACCGGGGACAGGTGACAGATGCTGGCAGGTGACCCACGTGAAGGTGCAGATGGCACAGCTGCCACGTGCCTGTAGGCAGCCACTCCCTGGGCTTGTACTCCAGCCCAGCTCTAGACCTGTCATGGAAAAGCTGCATTTCTCTGTGTCACTTCTGTGACCAGGCTGAGATGACAAGGCTGCTGGTTGTACAGATGTGCCAGTAAACACAGGTATGAGCTCACTGCAGCCTCCACTAGCCAAGGACAAAGCCAACCAGCCCCAGGAGGACGGGGGTGGCTCTGGGGGAGAGGGGGCTGTCACTTCTGGCCTGCCTGGGTGGGTGGATAACCCAGAACGTCTTTGATCACTGCTGGCAGAATCATTGGGCTGAGATTATCAGCCAGCTGTTCCCCAGGGGGTGAGTGAGGGTTTGAAACAGCTGTCAGCATCTCTTCTTCTCCCTTCTCATCTCAGAATCTCATTAGCAGAACCATCCCAGACCTGGAGAGGTGAATCCTTGCCTGTGGACGTGAAGGGAGGAGGTGACCAGGCTGGGATGGGGGAGGTGGCAGTGCTGGGTGCAAAGGAGATGGCAGTGCTGGGTTGGAAGGAGGTGCTGGACAAGGAGGAGGTGGCAGTGCTGGAATAGGAGAAGGTGGCAGTGCTGGGATGGCAGGAGGTGGCAGTGCTGGGATGGCAGGAGGTGGCAATGCTTGGATGGCAGGAGGTGGCAGTGCTGGGTTGGCAGGAGGTGGCAGTGCTGGGTTGGCAGGAGGTGGCAAGGCTGGGATGGCAGGAGGTGGCAGTGCTGGGATGGCAGGAGGTGGCAGTGCTGGGATGGCAGGAGGTGGCAAGGCTGGGTTGGCAGGAGGTGGTAATGCTGGGTTGCTTTCCCCTGTCCGCAGCAGGAGCCTGGGATGTAATTCCAGTCCGTAGGCACTGCCCACAAGAGCAAAAAAGCTCCTCACTCTGCTCTGGGTGGTTTTCCCATCAGAGCCAGGGAACATGGTGTGGCTGGGACCACCCTGCTCTCACACACTTCCCCAAAGTCCCCTTTCTGTTGGACACTTCCCAGCAGCCTCCTGCTGCAGGCCCGGAGTGTCCTGTGCAATGGGGGCAGTGGGCAGGTTGGCACAGCAGAGCAGGGGCTGCAGGACTCGAGCTGGAACCTCTCAGCCCTCAGCTGTGCCTTCAGGTGCTGTGGTTGAATCATGGCACTCTGCATCCCTCAGGCATTCCAGGGAACTGCTCACCAAAGCAGTAAGTCTTGGATGAGAAGTCCTGGGACTACTGTCATGTGCCTGGAGCTGCTTAATCCAGGGCAGAAGCAAAGGGAGGGCAGTGCCAGGAGAACGTTCCTGCAAAATGAAGCCCACGAACCCAGGGAGGGAGCACCTGGACAAGGGGACACAGAGATACACCTCTACACCTCTGCATCCTAACCACCCACCAAAACCATCCATGACAAAACAGTAAATCCATACAGGTGACTGACAGGCAGCTGACAGGATGGGAAGATAAATCTGTTGGTGTGGATTCCTTCCATCTGCCCAGGACCACAGGTCATCATGCCAAGATCTGAATATCTGAGAGAGGACAGAGGATGGAGCACAGAACAGAGGGGGAGAGGCTGAGAGAGGAAGGCTGAGGGCTGTTCAGACACTGGAAAAGGGATCAGAGAGGTCGTGGAATTTCCATCTTTGGTCCAAGATAACTCCTGGACAAGGCTATGAGCAATGTGATCTACCAAGTCTGCTCTGAGCAACAGGTTGAACTCAGTATCTCCAGAGGTCTCCTCCAATCCAATTTCCTCTGATTCCATGTAATGAGATTGATGACAATTGATTTTTGATGGACACGATTGGAATATGCATGAATCTTCCCTGCTGGCTCAGGAGATGTTTTCTCCAGGCAGACAAGGGGTGATGGTGAGTTCCTGAACCTCAGCTCTGCAGGCTGGAAGGTCACAGCTGCTCTGACAAAGGGCCCTGTGTCCCCACAGACCTGTGCAAAGGCAGCAACACATCCAGCAGTTGCAAAGGTACAGACCCTGGGAGCTCCTGTGGGATTAAATTCCAGACAGCTGATGAAAAGATCTCACTGGAGATGGTTTTGCCAAACCTGGGAATGGGTTTCTTACACCAGGTTTCTTCTCCTGCCCAAGGCAGGATGTTTATTAAAGCTGTGATCAAGCTCACAGTCCGAGTCTCCCTTTGGGGATGGCCCCATGTGTGGCCCAGGGGTCCCTTTGGTCCCACAGCTGCACAGCCACACACAGAAATCAACCCCAGGCTGCCCGAGCTGAAAGACTCCCCAGCTGGCACTATTTCAACCTGGCAAACCAAGGAGGGGGAAAAAGCTTTGATTGAAACTCAGAGATGCTCTAATTAATCATCACACACGGCCGGGGGGGTGGCTCCATTAATGAGCAGTATAATAGCCAGAGACTTCCACTCCACATGGCTTTGGTGAAAACATTTAGACAGGCAGCAGCGAGCCTGAGATGAGTCACAGCAACAACCAGCGCAGGGTTGAGTTTCAAGCAATCTGCTTCATGATTAAAGTTGGACGATGGATTGACAGCCCCCTGTGGAGGGGTCAGAGCTCTTCACGGGGGCTCCATCCCCAGAACTCTGTAACTCAGCCCTGTGATTTCCTCTGCTCCTGAAAGCAGCACAGGCAGGGGGCATTCAGGCTCTCAAAATCAGCCCTTACTGCACAAACCTGACAATGGGAGTGATGATGACGCAGGGCCCAGCTCTGGGCAGCCTTGTCAGAGGGGGTGCTCTGCCCACCACCACCCTGCCTGCCAGGATGGACACGAGCCTCCAGGTCTGCCAATGTACAGCCCAGCACACCAGTCCTGAGGACAAGACCATGCTCAGATAGGAGAGGTCACAGCTGCTGGCAGCCTGCAAACCATGGCACTGCTTCCCTGCCAGCATTCCCTCTAGTAAACCAGGGAGAAATGTGCTGCCCTGGCCCACTGCAGCTGGGGGGGGCTTGTCTGGCTGTGTTTGTGCAGCCCCTGGCACAGCCAGCACCAGTGGGACCACGTTAGACATCTAAAGGACCAGAGTTCACAGGTGAGGTACCTTGTGAGGACTTATGGGGGTATCACTAAGGTGTAGCCCCTGTGCAACACCCCACTGCTGTAGGTACCTCCCCAGGGTCACCTCCCGAGCACAAGCAGGGCAAGAGGCTGTTTGTGTTCAGGGCTTCACAGGCTTGGCCTGATGTTTCCTGGCTGGGAGCAAACAGCAGGGCAGCATTCAAACAGCAGGCACTGACTGTTGCCATGTTCTCACCCATCACAAGGGTCCCTGGAAGCCGGGAGTTCACAGAACTGCACTGAACCAGCAAACACCGCAGCCACCACAGCCCTGCTCACAGGCACCCGAGGAGGGGGGTGCCCGGGCCACACCCAGCACCCTGAGTCCAGCACCACCAGTCCCAGGACCACCCCGATGGCACCCAGCTGCTGGGAGCAGAGGATCCAGGTGATGGAAGTGCTCCTATCCCCCAAGGATCTGTTTCCAAAAGACACTTCCCAGACTGTGAAGGTTTGGGGAGGATACTGTGCTGAAAGGCACAGAGAAGGACTAAAACTTCAAACAGACCACCGAGGAGCTGAGCAGCTTCACAGGCACCACACACACACCCCTGCCAAGCAGTACCGAGCAGAAATTTGCTCCATCCCTCCTCCCCTGCCTTTCCAGCTGCCTGTCCCTGGCCCTTTGGGTACAAGGGGCTAAGGAGTAGCAGAAAGGAATAGGGAAGGGGAGAGGTCGCAGAGACGTCATAGCAGAGGGATTGCAGGCGCATCTCCTCCTCACAGCCCAGCACTTCGACCCTTCCTCCCACCGCAAGGTCGGGGACTCTGCACAGGGCAATCCCCTTGGTTGGCATCCCCCCCTCTTCTCACCCCGTGTCGTACTGGAGGAACAGGTCAGAGAGGGGGGAAAGCGGTGAAGGACAGGGTGGGCACCCCAGTCTCCCTGTCACGGCGTTCCCAGCACAGCGGCTCCGTGTCCGCCCGGGCAGCAGCAGTGGGATGGCGGGGTGCGACCCTCCTTCTCCCCCCGGTGCGTGCCCTCCACCCAGCCCTCCACCCAGCCCCTTCTCTCCGTCCTTTCTCTCCCCTAGCCACCCCTTCCCTCCCTCCATTCCCGCTTCCGTCCATCTCTCCCATCCATCCATTCATCCATCCATCCATCCATTCATCCATCCATCCCTCCCTCTCTTCCGTTCATCCTTCTCCTCCCGCCCCGCTCCCGAGGTGCCGGGAGCGGTCTGGGGAGCACCTGCGGGGCTCCTTTTGGTGGGTGAAGCCGCCGGTTCCCCGCCAGCTCCCAGGGCTCGGGTGCCGGGAGAGTCCCGGAGCCGCCGGGGGATTTGCGGGGGGGAAGTTCGGCTCTGGCCGTGCCCTGCCCGTCCCGGTCCCGCCGCGCTCACCTGGCCCCGCGGGCGGCCACCGGGTGGACTCCATGGATCCGTACCGGGGAGGGGTCCGGCTCCCCTCCATCCGCAGCCCAGCCCGCTGTGCCTCCTTCGGGGCGGGGGCTCCGGCCGCTCCCCCCGCTCCGCTCCAGCCGCTCCCACCGCTCCGCTCCCGCTGATCCCACCGCTCCCCTTCGCCGGGGAGGGGGCTCCCCCCGATCCCACCGCTCCGCTCCCGCTGATCCCACCGCTCCCCTTCGCCGGGGAGGGGGCTCCAGCCGCTCCGCTCCCCCCGATCCCACCGCTCCGCTCCGCCGGGGCGGGGGCTCCGCTCTCTGCCGGCAGCCCCCGCGCCCCCGCCCGCTCCCCGCAGCCTCACCCGGGAGATCCCGCGGGGCTGGTCCCCACCCCAAACCCAGACCCACCCAAAAACCGCAGCATGAGCAGCACGGGCAGTACCAGCGGCCCCGCGGGTGGGGGCCCGGGGGGCGGCCGGGGGCACTCCCCTCGCCCCGGGCACTGAAGGTGATCGGGCTCTGCAGAGCAGTGTGGGACTCGGGGGTGCTGAGGATGAGGCACGGCACGGAACAGCCCCCCAAAGCTATGGCGAGACACTGAAGTAATTTTCCCTATGGAAAAGCCCAACAGCAAAGTGTTTGAAGAACGTTCCAAGGTACGTGTTGGTCTGGAATCCTAAGGCTGGCTGGGAGCACGCTGACAACACCCACCTCAGCGAGGGTCTTGGTGATCTTCTCCTCTCTCCAGCCGGGATCTCCTGTGGGACACAGCAGTGCCCAGTCCCGCTGTCCTGAAGGCTCATCCCTGCAAACTGGTGCAGAGAAGGTGGGGATGGGGAGTGGATTGTAAACCCTTCTGCTCGCAGGGTTTTGTGATCAGCAGAAGCCCTTCCTGTGCTGAGGATTCACACCCATGGACACAAACCTCACCACCACTTTCCCCAAAACACACAGCCCGCTGCTAGGACACGTTTCTCTGCTAGGATGTGCCTGTAGTTGACACTGATGTCCCCATGGTGCAGGAGCAGAGGTCTTGCATGGGTTGGTCAAGAGCATGGGTCCAAGGCAAGGGGGAGGCTGGGCTCAGAGACACCCCACCCTGGGGAGGGGGCACAGGGTCAGTTTGGGAAGTGCCACACAAAGTCACCGGGCTGGAGAGCAGCAGTGGCAGCAGCAGTGGAGAGGTGAGGGCCAGGGGAGCAGCTGTGGGGTTCTGTCCTCTCACTCTGTCCCCTGCTCAGCTGGCAGCCAAACTGCTGCAAGTCCATAGTTAATGCAATAAAATAAGCCATGGGTGAGCAAAACAGGCACAGCAACACAAGGGAGGGGTCTGGGGGAGCAGCCCCTGCACAGAACACCAGCAGCATCCTCACCTCCAGCTGCTCCCTCCCCACTGAAATGGGCTGCTGAGCTCACCCGTATGAAATGTCCCTATGGAATGGGCATAAATCTGAGCAAAATCTTGGAATTCCCATCTCCAAAAGCCAGACAGGAGCTCCTGACTTTTGATCCAGTTCAGTGGTTTAAACCAGAACATGTGCAAGGGAGATGGTGCCTCATTCTTTGAGGATAACTGTGGCATACAAACAGAACAAGAATTAAGTCTGTGTGTAAAAACAGGGGAAAATACACAGGATATGGGAGCTGCTACTCTGAGTTACAAATACAGCAGCAGCCAGTGAACTGTGGGCAGCCACAGGACTACCTTGCTCCAGAAATCCTTTGAAAACACAGGATCACCTCGTGGACAGGAACAGCACGAAGCCACGAGGCCACCAAGGTGGGCTGTGACAGACCCCAGAGCTGAAATGGTGATCCTTGGAAAAGCAGAGTTTCCATATTCAAATGAATTGTTCTGGAATGCCCTGAGTTTGCAAGGCAGCTGCACTGTGATTTCAACTCCCAGGCTCCCAGCTGGACAGGAAAGGCCAGCTGAGGGACACAGCCACTCTGGGATTGATTGGTTTGGTTGCTTTAATGTGAAGTGTAAGGATAGTCATGAAGTGGCTGTTCCTCAGCTGATTAAGTGATGAGCATCCTCCATCACTAGAACTTCGAACTCGGGTCTGAAGTGACTCACCTCGTTTTGGTTGCTCCCCAGAGCACAGAAAATGAACCTGTAAATATTTTAATCAGTTCTTCAGTTGCATATTCTGCAGGATGACTTTCACCATGAGCAGCCAGATCTGCCGTGGGCTCAACTCGAACTGGACACATTCGATACTGTCACTCATATTCTCAATAAAAGCACGGGCGTAAATCAAACAGTCCAGAGTCACACACAGAGTTATGATCCAATTAACACATGCCAGTTCTTCTGCTGCATGGAATGGAACCATGATGTGCAAATCCATTTGGCAGAGGTAAGTGCAAATCAGGTGCAACCACACGGTCCAGGAGCCGTCTGCTCCTCACCAACTGGGGTTCCTCCTTCACCCAGGCACGCTCTGTGTCCTTCAGTTCTGAGGCTCAGAAGTTTTAATGGGCCTTGAGGTGACTCACATTGGTGCAAACATTCCCTGTGTACAGTCCCTTCTGCAGAAATGAAGCACCTCCATGACAGAAAGCACACATATGTTATAGGGTTACAGAGCACCAGCCTGTACCAAGCAACGGTAACACAATCCCCCAGGCACTTGAAAGGGGCTGACAAACACACAGAGAATTAAAATGGACCTTGGAGAGCATTAGGATGGACACAGGCATTTGAAGTTCTCAACAGCAAGCACCAGATACCACTCAGAACAAATTCTGAGTCTTCAAAAACAGTTCCAAGGTGACACTCATGGGTCCTTCGCTGCCAACTCAGGTGCATCTTGGTGACAGATTCCCTGAGAAAGCACTGTGGTCCCAAGGACCTGAATGTCTCTTCTTATGGAGGGATGTACAAGTCAGAATAACTAGTCCAGAGTATTTACTAACTTCATTTTCCTTGGCATTTGGCAAAAAAATCAGGTTTGTGTTTCTTAATTCATGCTTTGAATTAAAGTTATTTCAGCACATGATTATGTTCCCTGGCTTAAAATCCCTTTTACTAACAACAAACCCCTGTGTTGATACAAGCCTTCTGCTTTCAGTGTTGTAACTACCCCCATAGGTCTGACCTTCCAACCTGACTGGAGGCAGAAATGTTCTCAAATTTTCAGAACTAAAGTCATGTTAGCAACAACTTCCCTGTCTGCTGTACTGGGGAGGGTCACAATAACTGTTCCTTGATTTCTTCAGGCAAGATTTCTCAATATACCAAAGGTGAAGCAAAGGTTAATTATAAAGGTGCCTCATACCCACCTCTACATTTGGGGTCACAATTTTATGGTCTCAACTGAAGGTAAAAAATGCCCTTGGCCAGAAAAGTCATTTATATGGCAGCAAAACCAGGCAGAAACCACACAGAGCAAAATTTATCTGTTCTCTGAGAAATGTACAGTGTAAATTAGCAGAGACTCTCTTACATTGGCTCCCTCCTGATAAATAGAATCATAAATCAGAGAATGGTTTGGGTCAGAGGGACCTTAAAGCTCATCTCGTTCCACCCCCTGCCATGGGCAGGGACACCTTCCACCAGCCCAGGTTGCTCCAAGCCCCGTCCAACCTGGCCTTGGACACTTCCAGGGATGGGGCAGCCACAGCTTCTCTGGGCAACCTGTGCCAGGGCCTCCCCACCCTCACAGGGAAGAATTCCTTCCTAATACCCCATCTAACCCTACTCTCTGTGAGTTTGAAGCCATTCCCCCTTGTCCTGTCACTCCAGGCCCCTGTAAATAGTCTCTCTCCATCTTTCTTGTAGCTTCTTCAGGTCCTGGAAGGCCACAATGAGGTCACCCCAAAGCTTCTCTTCTCCAGGCTGAACAATCTCAATTCTCTCACCTTTCCTCCCAGCAGAGCTGCTCCATCCCTCTGATCCCCTTGGTGCCTTCTCTGGACTCGTTTCAGCAGCTCCATGTCCCTCCTGTGCTGGGACCTCAACTCTCAAAAACATCACTCCTCTTCTTTTGAAACTACAGCTAAATAGATTTACCTTACATGGACCAAACCTACAATTTTGAGAAACAATTCATTACAAAGACACAAAAACCTCTCTGTGAACACATCTGGGCAGGTTTCACTACAGTCCACAAAGAACCACGCTGTGGTTGCTGGCTGAATCACAGAAATCTTTGGAGAGCCCTGGAAAGGATCTTACCATGCTGATCAGATCCACTAGAAAAATTAACATTTATAGAGTTTTCCCTAATTTCCCATTCTGGGAGTACCACACTCTTTCAGTCAATCACAGATGTGAGATGCACACAGAGAGGAGCTGAAGGAAACATTTGTAATATTCCATCATAAAATAAAGACAGAGTCTGTAATTTTAGTTCCCTTATAATTTGGGAACGAGTTGTTACAAAGCAGGATAAAGATTCAAGGAGTTTCTCAGCTCCTGGGTCTGTTGTATCCTGAAACCACCTGCACAGTAGGTGCAAGTTGTTTCAAGAGGTCTTGGTTATTTTTGGGGAGATGGTGTCTCATCTAATAAAATTGATTTACTCAGCTCCTCTGAAACCTCTCACAAAGGACACATATACTGAGCTATGTCAGATTTAAAATCTAAGAGCTACAAAGACCATCATTGCATGGAACTCGTTCCTCAACACTGACTCCTCTTTGCTTCCTGAGCTCAGTTACATCTAATTGTGTTCAGAGAAGGACACAGCTCCACTTAGACCCTGGACAGACACCAAGGGGGGAAAAATTAGTATTTCTACATATAAGCCTTTAAAATTTGCTCAAAGTAGGCAAAGAGTAAAGTCTTACATGATCTTATAATCCCTTTTATCTTTACAACTGCTGCTTAAGAATAAAAGCTAGAAACAGAAGTTTTTACATTAATTTTTTTTTTGCAAATAGTTGCAAAGTAATGCAAAAATAATCCCTGATGTGGTTGGAAACACATCAAGAGAACCTATTTTCCCTAAAAGCAGTTCGATTCTCCTCCATTAAAATTTTACTCCCAACAGCATTTAATGCCTTGGCACATTCTCACTTCTGCAAGAACAATAAAGCCACGCTCAGAGCTCACACAGAATAATTTAAGTCCACCTCCTTCCTTACCCTTTTGGCTTGGAGGGTCTGTGACCATCAGAGAGGAAGAAATTGAGTCCTCAGTGTTGCAGAGCTCACACACAGAACTGGCTTATAGAAACCTCAGTGGAAAATGATTTAATCAAACTGGTGGTTAAAGCAATTTCTCCAGTGAATGAGCCTCTGCCACATTCATTCCACAGTGGTTTGTAATTCAGGATGCATTTCAAACTGCATAAATATGATTCTCCCCTGAATCAGCATCAAATGTGTTTACTGGATCGATAATTTAAAAAAATAATCTTATTATCCAGTATTATTACACTGAAGTTCAGCCTTGGGCCATACCTTAAATCCTGCCTGTTCACAGCAGCGGTGGTTGAGCACACCTACCCAAAAATGAGGTAAAATCCCAGGGGAGATTTTACTGCCAGGCAGCCACCACCCCTCTCCACAGGTGGATTGCACCAGCATCTGCCATTCCAAGGCTTCTCTTTGCAAAGCTGCAATTTCAGCAGCAGATGTTGTGCTGAAGCAGACAAAAAGAGCACAGATCGCCCAGGTAATTGGCTTCAAACGAGGGCAGGCACTTCCAGTTAAAGAAGCAACTGCATTTTAAACCATTCCAGCTATTTCTGTTCCTCTCACAGAAGCACTGATGGCTCTGGGATGTGCTGCTTGCTGGGATGTATCTGACTGCAGTCAGATGCTCTATTAACAACTTTTGTTCCTGAGGTATTATATGATAATAAGGCCGGGATAAATTCTTGACACTCAAATTGCTCTCAACTTGTGTTTGAATTCCTGGGAGAAGATAATATCTTAATAAAAAGTTCCAGCTGTTCTTGGCACGAGGACAATTCTATCTATAGAGCCATTCCAGCAGAGCATTCTGCGTGGCACTGAGGATTTGTGCCAGGAAAAGAGAGAGATAATTACCCTGAAAGCATCTGATGTACAGATAATGTGGAATCGATGCATACAGAGAAAGAGATTATCTCCAAGGCGTGTCTTTTCCTTGTCTCCAACCCCTTCCTGCCGAGCCCAGAACCCAGCAGGGTGACAGATTGCAAGGCCATTTGCATATGACATATTAAATACGCATTTAAATAAATATTCTGCCTTTTGCAGCTGCCTTGTCTCAGGGCTTGTAAACCACTTAGGCAGATGTTATTAAAATCTATCCCTCTGCAAAGGAATGATGCAGCTCCCTGTCCAAGGAAGCACTTCATAAACTGACAGCAGCTTTTGAAGGGACTCTAAGGCTCATTTGAAGTCTGACACAGATCTTTTAATGAGATCAGACTGCTGATTTTTCATTTGTAAGGAAACCTTACCTCCTTAAGAGGTGCTGCAATCCGTGTGCCTTTGAAGGAAAGGCAAGGTAGGTAAGGCAGTGCTGGGAAGAATGGGTTAAAAGAGGAAGACTGGGAGGAGGACTGTAAACAAGTGACTTTGCAGCTGGGAATAACCCAAGCCTGTGATCCTCTGGCATGGACTGAGTGCCTGTTCTCTGCCCTGCACCTGTGCCCAGGTGTTGCTTCAGGGATCCCCCACTTAGCAAGGGAACAGAAATAAATTCATCCCTGTGTGTTTCTCCTGTGGGTTTGTGGGTGTCCAAAGTGACTCCCTGCCTGTGCTGACCCACACGGGCAGCTTGAGGATCCCTCTGGACTTGGCAGGGATAAAGGTGCTGCTCCCAGGAAGGATCACCAGCTTCCACCAGTGCCAAGGCTGAATGGATATTGCCTTCAGTTCATTCCCAGCCCACACAAGTGACACAAGTCACAAGGGCTGGCTGCTTCCTGGTCACCTGGAATGCTGGGTGCCACACCTTCCATAAATCCACACAAAGAACCTCTGCACATGGAGGTTTTTTCCAACAGATTCCAAGCAGACGCACACTTAACCACATACATAAACCACGAAACAGGAGAAGGCAAACAGTCTGCAGCAAACCCTTATTTTACAAATCAAAGCAGAGCAGATGAATCATTTTTTATTCACATCCCTTATAAAGTACAAAGAGTTCACAGACAGAGCACCTTGAGAGAGTTTCATGTACTGGCAGCATGACAATATTTTCCATTTGACTGTGTCACAGAACAGGTCACAGCTTTCACTGACAGCTCTGGGAGCAACAATTCAATTTAGGTTTGCTTTTGGACTAGCAACTTAGCTACATTCATTCCAGCAAATGTATACATGAAATACTTTATTAGGGATTTGGAAGCAAAATCACTATGTTAAAAAGGAAAAATTACTACAAAACACTATATATTAAGAAAATAAGGTTTATAATTTTTTTCAAAATAAAAATCTCTCCTGTCAGATATAGACTGTATATATTCAGCACTTTAGAATTATCAGTAATTTCTGGGCATCACCATCATACCATGTTACCACCCCACAGATTTAAGTACAACTTAGTTGAACCCATGCTGCTGTATCCAATTCCTGTTAAAACTTTCATCCTTCATAGCTTTTACCAGCCAGTCCTTCTCGCTCTCCTCATCAGAGTCACTCGTATCAGCAGCCAGGAGATGAGAATAGTTAATTTTTTTCTGCCATGGCAGCTCAGACGGGACAATGAAGAACACGAAGATCCACAGCGCCAGGCCCGCGCAGCAGACCCTGAACAGCACTGCCAGGCCGAGGTGCTCCACCACAAACCCCCCTGCCAGGCTGCCCACGCTCGCTCCTGCCCCGCAGCACAGACCCCGCAGCACGGCCTGCAGGGACCTCTCGGTGCCTGGCGTGGCAATGTCACCCACTGTCCCCTCCAGGGCCCAGCACAGCAGACGGGGAGCACAGCCCAGGGAGCGCGGAGCAGGGAGTGGCACAGCAGCTGTGCCGCCAGCAGGCCCACACCGACCACGGCCACGCCGCCGCTCCACAGAGCCCTCAGCAGCCTCCCCTTGAAGGGCCAGAGCAGCAGCTCAGCCAGCAGCCCGACGGACACGGAGAGCCCCACGAGGAGCTTGCTGCTGCCTCGGTCCTGCATCTGCCAGAAGAGGAAGTTGTGGCCGGTAGAGCTGGCGGCGCCGGCGAGGAACACGGTGCCAGTGCACAGCAGCGCCAGGGCTTTGGGAAAACCACAGTTGGTTTTCCTGGGAAGGTGGACGGGAAAAAAGGCGCTGACGAGCAGTGAGAGCGTCACCAGGACGGCGTAGCCGTAGAAGTGGATGGCAAGGCAGGAGATGGAACCGCTGAGGAAGCAATTCAGCTGATCCACCAGGACAGCAATGCCACAGGCACCGGCAGCCACGCCCAGGGAACTCCACATCCACAGCCTGCCGGACCTGTCAGTGGCATCCACAAAGTCCAGGTATTCATAGACACCTTCATCCACTGTCCTTTCCAGAGAAGTGCCCAACAGCTCCCAAAGCACAACAGCACCCAGGATCATGAGAAAAATCTGATGCTCTCTGTCCTGCAAGATGTTTTCGGCTGCCTCAAAGTTGACATCTTGAGTGTCTGAGAGGTTTTCAGACATGTACTTAACTGCAACAGTGGGAAGAGTTGTTTTAATCAAAGAAGGCTCATTACTTGCAGCAGCAGAAAGGCTTTCCTCAGCAAGATCAGCTGCAGCAGAACCCACACTGTTCGTTTCCTCTTTGAGTCCAGGGAAGGGAGGTCTGTAGGAAGCCAGCTTTTCTGCTTCTTGTGTCTCCCGATGAATGTCTTCCACAGCAGTTCTCCAGCCAGATGGTCCATCCAAGTAGCCACTTGCCTTTGTACCACCTTCACCAACCCCTCTGCTGTCTTCCTCAAGCGCATCCCTCGTGCCAAATAACCCCTCGGTGCTGGCATCCTGCTCGCTGCCAACACACCACCAGCAGTTGTTCTCACCGTTTCCTTTGACACAGCTCTCGCATTTGCCACGGCGCTGGTGCTCAGCGCTCCGTAGGTGCTTGTCCCGGGGCTGGGCGCCGCGGTTGGCACCACGATGGGCACCGTGGAGGGCAGCGGGCCGGGCTCCGCGGAGGGCACCGCGGCGAGCACCCCGTGCCGGCTGTGGGCACAGCCCGCGGCCCCCGCGGCCCCGCCGGCGGGCGGGATGAGGGTGAGCCCCAGGCTGGCCCCCGCCGAGCCCACCAGCGAGCCCACCAGCAGCAGCCGCCGCTCCCTCGGGCAGCCCAGGGAACAGCCCCGAGAGCCGCCGCCAGGCCCCGCGCCCCGGCCCCGGCGCCCACGAGCGGGGCCGGCAGCCCCAGCAGCCGCAGAACAGCGGCAGGAACGGGGCGGTGCAGGCCTGGCCCCGCAGCAGCCGGGACAGCGCGGCCACGGCCAGGGCTCGGCCCAAGGGCCGCTGCTCGCCCATGGCCCCGCCGCAGGCCCGGCCCGGCCCGGCGGGTCCCCCCGTGCCCGCACCCCCGGCGGGTCCCCCCTGCCCGTCCCTGCGGCTCCCGCCCTGCGCCGTCTGCCGGCCCGGGGGGGAACGGCGGCGAGCGGGCCCTTCCCGCGGGGTGCGGGATCCCAGAGCGGGCCAGGATTTTGGAAAGGGCCGCCGCGTTTCACTGGTCCCGTTGGGAATGATGGAACTCTCCTAAAATTTCAAGCAACGGTAGCGGTCAGCTGCGTTCTTTTTCTTACAGACTCTCGTCGATTTGAGGACATTGAGGGGCTGGAGCGTGTTCAGAGAAGGGCAACGAGGCTGGGGAAGGGTCTGGAGCACAAGTGCTGTGAGGAGCAGCTGAGGGAGCTGGGGGGGCTCAGCCTGGAGAGGAGGAGGCTCAGGGGAGACCTTCTCACTCTCTGCAACTCCCTGACAGGAGGGGGGAGCCGGGGGGGGTCGGGCTCTGCTCCCAGGAACCAGCAGTAGGACAAGAGGGCACAGCCTTGAGCTGCCCCAGGGCAGGTTTAGGTTGGACATGGGGAAGTTCTTCCGAGAGAGAGGGATCAGGCCTTGGAATGGGCTGCCCAGGGAGGGGGTGCAGTCCCCGTCCCTGGAGGGGTTTGAGCAGAGCCTGGATGTGGCATCAGTGCCATGGTCTGGGTGACAAGGTGGGGTTGGGTCATGGGTTGGACTGGATGATCTCAGAGGTCTTTTCCAACCTGGTTGATTCTGTGATCTTTAAACCACCAAAGCTTTGAGTTTTCTGGACTAGCTCTGGTTAGCTTCAATAAACAAAGCTTGAGGGAGTTGAGGATTGAACATCTGGGATCTTAAATTTATGGTCCTTCAAAGACATGTTGGAGTAACCATAAGATACAGAGGAGAATAACAAAGACATTACAGCCTGAAAATGAGAACCTGAATGCGGACCAAAATAGAAAGCAAATTTACATCCTAATCCCGCAGCAAGCACCAAACCCTTTTGGCATCACTCCTGGCTTTCAGCTTCTCTGGAGTGTTCCCAAGGGAGCTTCAAAGGCCCAGGATCACCTGAGTTTTGGGTGGCCATGGAGGGCTCAGTGAGTTCAGGCAAGGGGAGGGAAGAGCTGCCTGAGCAGGGAGCTACTGAACTCACCCTGACGGGATATGAAATATGGATGGGCCTGAGAACACTGCTGTTAGAGCTGATTTATTCCTGGCATCTTGCAGTGGTGCTGCTGGGGAGGTTGTATTACAGACTCATTGATCCCCCATTAATGATGAATTAATGTTTAACGTTGTCCTCCCCCTCCACCAGTCCATAGCTTTTCACGTGGAGCTGGTGGGAGATGAATTTTCATTGTATGTAAAACTGATCTATACTAGGATTTCTTACCACTGGCTTCCTTCTGCCTCTCTAATTCCAGTAGAGCCCCCTGGAAAACTGGTGATTCATATTAAATTTTTCACAAAGTGTTTAATAATGTGCAGCTTTGGGTGTTTTCAGGTTGTCCAAGGCACTGTTTCAGGAGAGGTCATGGGAGAAGGAGGTTGTCCAGAATGCAGAGCTCCCAAGCAGCTGGCTGGGGATCACCTGAACTCCCTGCAAGTGCCAAGGTGCTGTTTGCTGCCTGGGCTGGGCTGGGTTTGTGCAGGAGGAGGAGTTGGCACTGACTCATCCTGGGAGCCAGGCTTGGCATGACACAGCTGGGACTGTGGGGTGACACAGCAAAACACCACACAGGGACAGACATGGACTCTGACCAAGCCAGTTTGGCATCAGCAGCATATGGAAAGGCCACCAAGATGATCAGAGGGCTGGAGCAGCTCTGCTGGGAGGAAAGGCTGAGAGAATTGGGATTGTTCAACCTGAAGAAGAGAAGGGTTTGGGGTGACCTAATTGTGCCCTTCCAGGACCTGAAGGAGCCAACAGGAAAGATGGAGAGAGATTATTTATAAGAGCCTGGAATGACAAGATGAAGGGGAATGGTTTCAAACTCACAGAGAGCAGGGTTAGATGGGATTAGGAAGGAATTGTTCCCTGTGAGGGTGGGGAGGCCCTGGCACAGGTTACCCAGAGAAGCTGTGGCTGCCCCATCCCTGGAAGTGTCCAAGGCCAGGCTGGATGAGGCTTGGAGCAACCTGGGCTGGAGGTGTTTGTATACATTTTTCCTGCCACATGGGCTAGTGGAAGGTGTCCCTGCCCCTGGTAGGGGGAGTTGGAACAAGATGATATTTAAGGTCCCTTCCAACCCAAACCATTCTATGATAACGATGTAAATAAAGGTATTCAGCAGGGACTTTGAAAGACTGGGAGTCTCCAATAAGGTGAGGAATCCTGCCAGGTAAAACCCCTCACACAGCTGTGCCAGCAGGGTTTGTCTGCAAGCCCTGCTCCAGGCTCTGCTGTTTATGAATGCACCCTGCACTCAGATTTCTGTCCTCTCCCAGTCTCCAGGCAACTGTGTCCACCCTTATCCCTTGAGATCCACCTGCCATGTTCCTCCAGGCTTTTGACCTGGTGCAGAAGATGAAGTTGCTCCAAAGCCAGCAACTTTTGGGCAGAGGGTACACCTGAACACTGTCCCTGTGCTATGGCTGCTCTGGGATCTGCGTTTGCTGCCTGCAGTTTCCAGGAGTAAATGAAACAACCTATGAAATTCTTCTCACAACTGTGCTAATTCATTAGCACAAGTCTGTGAGCTGTTTCTGCTCAACTGATGAGCAGTTCCTGTGGTCAGTAGGGTCAGTGGGATTTAGGGGATCCTTGCAGAAAGCCAATGGTTCACCCATTTCCAGTGGTTCACCTCTTTCCCACCCTCAGGTGACAAGCCCAACTAAGGGAATGGGTTGCTTTGAAGTGACAGACTGTGAGGGGAACAGGCTGTGGAGACAGTGTTTCAGCACAGAGGGGGGTCAAGGGGCAGCCAACATGGGGGTTATAAAGCCACAGAGCACTGCTTCCAAATTTCTGCAATTCAGCCGTTTTTGCCCATCCCTTCACAAATGACCTCTTTGGCCATGAAGTCTCTGTGTAACACAACCTGGAGCCCCAAGGTGGGGAGGAGACACTGGCCAAGAGGGCCAAAGGACACTGGTGACCTTCTGGTCCTGCCAGCTCATTCCCCACCCACCCCAGGCACAGAGAAACATAAAACCACAACCAAATGGATAGTTTCTGATGGTTTTTTTTACCTAATTTCTTTTAACTGGCATTAAAAGGATTTCACCTTTCGATACAGATCATTCATATATATACAAATAATTTATACTCCATCTACATCATTTACAACTGTACAGAGTAAACTCTGGATGCCACAGACCACACTCCAACCCAGCTCACAGTCTCGTGGCTTTTTAAGCATTTCCCTTGTGTGCTGGGGTGTACAAACCCCCCAGTGAAGCCCCAAAGATGTGTGCAGAGCCACTGGTCACTCCTTAAACCCCATATTATCCCAGCTCACACAGGAGAACAGCTGGTGCAAGCAGGCTGTTCCTGACTTGTTTGTGAGCCTCCTGTCTACTTTCAGCTTCCTTCAGGACCAGAATGTTTCCTGCCTAAGTCTGGCACAGGTGAGCATCAACAATTTTTGATTTATGAGGTGAAAAACAGTACTGAAGGACCAGATGCTGTGGCTGAGACCTTGCAGCCTTGTCACTCCTGTGGGGGACATGAAGGCTTGAGGACTGTGCTTGGCTCTGCCAGGAGCAAGGGGCTACATCTGCCAGCATTCCAAGGTATCTTCCTTTGGAAATGGTCATGCTGCTGCTGCCCAGTATGATCTTCCAACTGTGCAGGTTCAGGATTAAATATTTCTTGGGACCTGGTGGCTTTTTACACTGCTAAATAGCCTGTCACCTGCTGACAGCTCTGGAGCTGCTGAGCCCCCAGAAGTGTGTTTCAGCAATTGTTTTGGGTGGCATGACACACTCAAAGTGAGAGCAAATCAGCCTTTAGCTTGGGAACAGGAAGGGGCAATGCCTGCTGTGCCAGGTGACAGGAGAGGGAACACAGCTGCCCTGGGCTTGCTGGCACAGAGAGGGACCAGGGAGGTTGAACCCCTAAACCCTGATGCATGTGGTAAGAAATAGAGGTAAGATTTCCATGAGACCTAACCAGCCAAGACAACCCACAAGCTGAGAGCAGTTCTGCTGAAGGGAAACTCCTCTCCAGTCCCCCAGACTGGGATATCTGGAGGTGGGCTCCTTGTTCCAGGTGTGGGTGGTTAAGCAGAAGTGACTTTCCAGAGGTGCAGCTCCCCAGGGCTGGGCAGACCTGGCACATACAGGCCAGAGGGGTAGATTTGTCCCATTTGTTGGGGCTAAATAAGGATTTGCCAGTGTCACTGCAGCTGGTTGGCATTACCCTGGAGCACAGAGCTGGCTCCAGGGATTCCCCAGCAGTGTCAGCCAGAGATGACTGGGGAAAGCTGTTATGTACACCTACAAAGCTAAAGGACACTTTCTTTGGGCTGGTGATCCAAGCAAGCACCCCTAAGTGAAGGCAGCCCAGGTAACGACTTTTTGGGAGCCAAGAGAACAAAGAAATGATAGTGTCATAGAAGGAATGCCCTGAAATTCCTCCAGTGTGAATTTATGGGGGACTCCCTGGACTCCAGAAACCACAGATCACATTCAGAAAGTCAATAACAACACATGGTATTTCATCCATTATTTCACTCAGCCAAAAACTGGAATGAAGACAAGGTCCTCCTCCAGGATCATCCTGAACACCGGGTCACTCTGACTCCTGGTCACTCTGACTCACTCCACAACTCCTGGTGGAAGCAGGAGCTGTGCTGTCACTGCTCAGCCTGGCCCAGCTGCAAACCAGGGGAAGGTTTTTACACCATGGGAGCAGCAGGAGAAAGGAACAAAGAATTCTTTCAGGCATCCTGCCCATCCATCAATCCCAGGAGCACTCCTCTGCACAACGCAGCAGGCACAGACCAAACCAGGACTGCAAGGCAGGCTGGACACTGAGACATTGCTGGTTGACCTCATGG